AGAAAACGAGCTGACAATTTTCAAATGCAAGTAAACTTGGCTCATTTCAACAAATACTACGTTTTTTTTAGCAAATACATGTTCTATTTTTAATACAGTGATTCATGTTTCAAAACTTAAGGCTAGAGTGTGAAGAAACCTTTTCGATTCCTTATAACCCAAAGAAAAGATCACATTCTATAGCAGATTGTTTGTTATTTTAATTTATTCAACCTATAACACTTTTTTTTATTCCAATAAAATTGTTTTTTTTTCAGTTTTTTGTAGAAATTATACTATTATAGTCAATTAATAACTACCGAGCTTCGGCGCGGATGTGAAAAGTTATTGCGACAAGTACAAAACTCAATTTAGTCTAAACCGCTCAAGAGCTGTCCGCGGATTTTTCAAAATAATTAAACAGAAGGAATAGATATGAATACTTTCTGGTCCCGAGTTTATTCAAAAGGTACACGGTGAAGTTTTAGATTTACATTCTGCAAAATCAGCTGTTTTATATCAGGGATTTAGTTTGTTTAAATGAGAATGGTTATTCTTTTAACTTGCAGCATTGATTATAAGCATTCAGGCGTGGATCTAGGCTTTTCCCGAGGGTGCGGATTTTCACAAAAAAATCTAATATTTAATAACAGTTTTTCTTTTTCATTATTTTAGGTCGGCTAAATTGAATTTTTGAGCTTTCAAAAAACACTATAGAGACACTTCACTGCCAAAATAGTGTTTTTTTAAAAAAAAAAACGCTACAAAAATGTCGTTTTTGAGCAAGTGTTGTCCCTACTTAACCCGCAACTGCTGGCACAAATCAGCGTTTGCTGATTTCATGTACCTCAGTGAGATTGAATTTTCAGCAAAACATCTAAAATGTGAACTCACAACCTACCCAGAAGTCGTGGTATGTTCGCAGGTTGAGAGCCCTAAACTGGACTATTATAGGGCTGTCTGCGCAGTCGTAGGATATTCGCCTGGTGTCTGTGTTTTTGTAGAAGAACTCTAAGTTCCTACACACTCCCAGGGGCTTCACTGTGAAAGTGACACTGAAGCAGGAGGCCTCGTAGGTTACTGTAACAACAGTTCAAATTTTATTTTACTAATGGTGTCGTCGCGGTGAGGCCCCACTAAGTAGAGAACCCATTTTTGAAGTGTAACATAACGTACAGTTCTTGACTTTTCCTGTCGGTAGAGCTCTATATTTCTCGGCGATTAGTGTTCTGTTTAAATATTTAAATGAGGGGTGGGCTGATCACGACTATTACTTTTGATTTACGCAAATTATACGCGAACTTGAGTTAACCTCTTAGCTATTTACTGAATATCATAACTAACGGTTCAAAGCAAACATTATAAAAATGGATACGATACGAGACGTCGCCTATCTTTGCCTACCAACAGTTATTGAAAAAAAAACACCTTTTCTTCAAATCATTCCAAGTAAGACATTTTAACACAATTGACAGCAAATGATATAATATCACCTTACTTCATGAAAAGCGACTCGGAGGGAACAGATCATAACGGGACTGATTAAAATCAATTTTACAGTCTGTATTATACTACTTTAAGCGTTTACAACATTTCTTAGTAGAGGAAAAATTATGCGTTTTTCAAAATGTTTGCAATAAAACTCAATAAAACTACCTTTTAATAGCAGCATAGCCAAAAAAAAATTAATGAGCTCACAGCGCCTGAAACGAGTGAACGTGAGTTGACATGAAACTCAGCACTGTTTATTAGTAGAAAAAATAAGCAAGCGAATATTTTCTGAAAGTACTAGATTGAACTGATTTTTTATTTTCGTTTGGACGTTGTTTTTCAATCAGAATTTTTTGAGACACTTCGGCGAAGAAAGTTTTTGGGCACAAATTTTTAGAGGCACAGAAAATATCAAACTCCGACATGAGCAAGAAAAAAGAAAATTAGAAAAAAACATCAATTTACTCTTACGCTGAATTTAGTAACTTGGTTTCAAACACTTTATTTTGCAGTTTTCATATCACTTTTGAACTCTCGATGCCATCGAAGTTTTGTTTTTTGTGCGCGAATTCATTGTTAATTAAAAGTCAATTTTTACAGAAAAAAATTTGTTGTGTACGTAACTGTGATTGATAGTGTGATAGTATTTGCTAACTTGTTCTTCAGTTAAAGAATCTGAGTCTTCAGCTGGAAATCTGGTTTGCTTGAAGAAATTATGAAGGCGATAAAAGTCAGCACTATATCTCAAAAAGTGTTTTTCAAGGTTCCGCAAGTTTCAATTTACTTCTTTCTGAAATAAATGTGACCACCAGCCAAATTGAGACATTTTCGTCCTCAGCAGATAGATGAATGTCTTTGTTTTTGACAGATCTGAGGGAGATCATTTATGTAGATTGAAACCGCAAGTGGTCTAAGTGTAGATTCTGTGGTACATCACTTCCAATTTTAAGCTACGAAAATGTGGCACCCTTTATTTTTACACAATGCAAACAATTCCTTAAATAGTTTTTGAATCAATTAATCATTTTGCTCAGTATACTGCATTTTTCGAATTCCTTTATTAGAAACTTGTGGTCAAAAGTATCATTTTTTTCAAAAGAAAATCAAAAAATTCTTGCATCAAGTTTATTAACAAAACCTGACTGTTTTAAGTTAGCTTGGCAAGTGAGTTTGTTCTTTTATATTGCTTGCGGCAACGAAATTGTTTGTAAAGGAAAAAAGATAGGCTTTCGAAGTACAAATACAACGATAGAAAACAGCTTTTTTGTATATTATTTTCCATACTATTAGAAAAACAATTGGTCTGTAGTCACCGTATTTGGCTTTTAATGCTTTTTTATGACGTAATAAAATTTGTAGTTTCGAGAGAACTTCAAAACTCCTTATTTCAATGATTCAAGATTAATTGGTTATCTTGCAATGGTATTTACTTTCCGCAGGTTTTCAATTTACAAATTTATAGGTGTGATGTGACTCTCAAATACAACCAAAGGACTTTGATTTAGAAAAAGTTTTCTCTGATAATTTAATTTGTGATTCAACTCTCAGCCTCAATTTTCTGAAGCATAGGAAGTTTCGAAAAACATTTTGCCTAATTTTTTTTAAGTGTGTGGTACTTGTTTGGAGTTGAAACTTATGTTTCTTGTTGGTTCAATTTTTTTTTTCAATACTTTGATGTAGTCTTTTATACGAGCGCAGCTGTACCTCACTTGCATCAGACAAGAGTCAATCAAGTAGAAAAAACATCTGCAATTGAGCATGCTATAAATTTGCTGATTTTCGAGCCAACTTTTCTGATTAGTTCTTTCATAATGTTTCACTTCAGCTGTATGATTCAGAAAAGCGACATCTCTAAGCCTCTGTTTTTCTTCTGAATTCTCTTTTCCCCGTTTAGCTACGACTGGGAAATGATCAATGAAATAATGATGCTGAAATATTGTAAGTTGTCTTTAACATGTTTTTGGAAAATACTGCTGTGAAAAAATTTCAAGTTAAGAAAAAATTTACGCAAGAGATCATTGCTCATGTCACTGTATATAACATTCGGAGTATATAGTGAAATGAAGCTCTCGAAAAAAATGTCGATTTTTCAAAAAAGCAAATTGCGTCGGTTTTCGGTTTTATGAGGAGGCAAATGTGCTGAAAAAGAAACCCGTTGTCATGAATGAAAGCTGCTACTGACTCCTAAAATAAATTTCTAAGACTTTTAACAAATACTTTTTTTTCGTAATTCAAGCACTACTGTTCGATCAATATTAGAACATTTTTTAATCTTTGTACTAAAAAAATTTGCATTAAGTTTTGTTAATTTTTTGTTATCACTGAAAGCCGTGTTTCAATTTTAAAGATCTGAACGCTGCGGCTGGGCGAAACACTTTTTCATCAAATCATTTCATTCCGTCATAAATCATTAAATCATCTATACCAGTTTTAAGCCTTTTTCATACCGTCCTGTCACTTTGTAACTTTTTCCATCATTTTTGCAAACGTAAAATTTTGACTCCTCCCTTGTCCATGTATCTGGTACACTAGAGTCGCTTTTCACACGCTTACTAAAAAGATTACTCCCAGGTGAGGAAGGTCTTCGAAAATTCGTACGTTTTTCAAATTGGCGCTGTTCCCTAAGGATTTTTTTTCTGTAATATTTCGATGTTTCCTGCTCTTCAACACAAACGCACAAAATAGGGCGCGATCTTTTCCTCCTACTGGGTAGTCTATTGGCAATCGATTTATCATTTGTTTTTCTTTTACTTCAAATAAATGCGATCATTTGATAACCAGTTGGCTAGTAGTTGAGTAACTTCACGTTCATCTGATTCTAATCCAACTATACGAACCTTATCTCTACTGTTGTAGTTCTTGAGTTGTTCGGCATCGGAAAAAGTTTCAGCGAGATATTTTTTTATGCGTATGCAATTTCATTTTTTGTTTTTTTCAGGATGCCATCTTTGGAATTAGTTATAGTTTCCAAATCATTGTGTTGATTGAAGCTTTGACTTCCTGTCTGAGGTTTTTCAAAGATACATGGAATCATCTCAATCAATGAAAATTGAAAACTTTCCATGACCTTAATCTTTGCTGCTCTTCAAGAAAAGCGTGCAAAATAGGGCGCGGTCCATTCCACCTATTGGGTAGTTTATGGGCTATCGATGTATCAATTGAGTTTACTATAGCTTCAGTTAAAGGCGATACATTGACAACCAGTTGTCTAGTAGTTGAGTGACTCCGCGTTCATCTGACACTAATCCATTTATGTGAATGTTCTCGCTCCTATTGTTTTTCTCGAGTTGTTCAGCTTGTTCATTTTGAATATTTTTTTCGGAATGTTTTAGCATGTTCTTCTGCTTCTTGTCCTTCTTGCAATAGACTCAAAACTGTGGATGGTAGTTTTGAGTATTTTTTGCTACCAGTCTTTCAGGCGTCTGGTTGAGCAGTTGGACATGATGTGGCTGTCTATTCAAATGAGGTTCCAAGGAATTGAGATCGGTTACGATTGATGTCTTGGTTTTGCTTTTGTTTTCTCTGAAACTATTTAATAAGTATAACAAAACAATTGGCACATTCATTCTTGTGTGGAGTTTGTTCTTCTTTTCAAGAGATCTTTGAAACCATTACTTTGCTAACTGATTTTGATTATGAGACAGAGGACTACAAAAGGATGACTGATTTCAAAGAAACTCTGCTTCGCATCTTTTATCCAAACTGCACTTTTTTCAAATTGGCCCCATTTAACTTTTCCCCGTTTGGCAATGCACGCCAGTTAATTAACCCCGTACGTACTATTAGTGAGTCAACACAGCTACAGCAAACATCCACAGACATCGCTCGAAAGTCAGCCATTTTTTCGATCGTCTTACATTACTGTCGATAAAAAGATGTAGATCAAAAAGTATTCCAAACAAATAATGAGCAAAGCTTGGGACTACAAAAAAGTACTAAGAAACACATGCCTATTGGGTATCCTGGTCGAGCTCCGTATCGAACTAGCAGTGGATGACTCATCTTCTTAGGTCCCCCATTGTACTCAACATATGCCCTCACTTCGATGTCAACTGAGGTTCCTGGCACTAAGCCAGTTATGGTGTAGCTTGTCCTCGCCCTGTTCGGGTCCGGCACTGTGCATTCGGGATAGCAGGAGCCAGAAGAAGACCTGCCAAATTTTTTAAATTGTAATTCAGGCTACTTATACGCTTGGACAACCATAATAAAGTCTTGGCGATAAAAAATCGTAATAATAATTACCATAATAAAATTAAAAAGTTTTTAAAAATAATTTTCTCATATTTTTCATGTTCTTTATTTTCATTTTTATTCGCCTGTTTATGTCTCAAAAAACTGAAGGCGCATTCTACCTACAACCACCTGTCACCTGAAGGTGCATCTCACGTGCCTTGACTTCTCTCACGAATAAGGGTAACTGATGAACTAAGAGAAACTGTATTGAACAATTTTTTGTTAATGTTGTTTCACTTATAGCTTAAACTTAAATTAAATTTGATTTTTACTGTGTTTTCATGCAGAATAGCTAAACTATAATCCTTTATAATTGATTTTTTTTGTGCGATAATTTTTTGACAGAGAAAGGGATTTTAATCTATTATATTAAATTATAAAAGATTAAAAGAGATTTTTGGAAAAATTATAATCAATTATAAATTATTATTATAATGCCACCAAAATGTAATCATTTAAACAAATTGGCGCTTACAGTTAATCATAGTTTTGATGAAATCACGATTAAATTTATAATATTATCGATTATTATCGTTTTGTACAGTGTGCGGGTACTTGCACAGCAACCAGCTATTGTTGCTTGTCATCATTGTTTAGTTGGTGGAGAATGTAAAACCACTAACTAATCTACTTTAGTTATTCCGTGCAAAAAACACGAAAAACTTGATATCGCGTAAATTTCGTGAAATTCCACTGTTCATAGAACAGAAACTTATCGTTTTAACTTCATCTGCATGTAATTGCTGTTGAACACACTTGCCTTATGTTCCACCCGTGGTATTCGGATCCATAAAGGTAGAAACTGACGGTTATGGAATTGGTGTCTGAAGAGGGGGAGTACGCATACTGCAGAGGGGCGAAGGGGTGTGTGTAGTCGGAGATAGTGTGACTCTTTGTCATCGGATCCGACCCCTTGCTGTAGGCTATGACCTCGAACTCATAGAAGCCACCTGCCTTCAAATCATTATACATCATGGTCTGATGGGTGTACCAAGTCGTCTCAGTTTCTCTGGGAACCACAACTGTGGATCTCATTATGAACTGGTGTTTGCTGCCTGTTCCAGACTTCGTACTAAACCGTAGTTGGATACTGGTGGGAGTGTCAACAGTAGTTGTGGTGGAAATGGAAGACAGGTCGTCAGTGTAAGTTGCTTGAGTGATTTCCAAAACCCAGCTGTGTTTTTCATAGCTGATTGATTTGAAATAAGTCGTGTATTCTAAACATTAGTTTGATGGCATTTGAAAATAATATTACAAGCCATACATCGCTTATGATATCAATGTAATACTCAAACCCATCGATGAAATGTTTTCCCTAAGAATCAGATTCCCAATTTAATTTCAATCTATCTTCAGCTCGTCAAAAATATGACTGTTTTTTTTTAATTTTGGAAGAAAGGCTCAGGGGCTATTTCTACCAAAAGATCCGTGTCGTTTTTGCAAAAAATCTAGTTATTGGAAGAGCTGTCGAAAAATGGAAATAGTTGAGTATTTTGCAAAAAAAACGACAATGGTTCTGAAAAAACGCCACTCGCTCTCAACCCGCAGTCAAGGAAAGCGTTCAAAAATCCCTCCGTATACCACAAGTAAAAAATTGTCAGTTTTAAATGCTGCAGAAAAGTATGTGTTGTAGTACCTTCTCCAGCTGTCAATCCAGTTACAGTCAGCTCATTTTCTTTCACGTCCAACTCACAGACGCCTGAAGGGGAAGCAGCACACAGGCCATGGGCAGGCTCATTCCATATATGGTACTTGTCAGCTGCTCCTTCCAGGGTCCAGTTGAAGTAGAGCCAGTACTCGGACACTTCATATTCACCCTGCGTCGGTCTGGCGGGCATGAGAGACTCCTGGGTAATGAGTGGAAACTGCAACTCAAGAGTCGGGTTGTAAAACAGGCTGTAATGCAAAAAAACATCATTTTCGAAAAAAGGAGTAATTTTTCTGGCATAAAGACTGCCAAAAACACTTAATTCTGAGCAATTACAATTCCGACTAAATGAGTTATATCCTTTTTGGTTATACTCATAGAGTAATTTCGGATAAGGTACACCGTCTGCTCGTCACGCTATCTTATTTTCGGCCGGATAGATTCGTGCAACTTCTTAGTCTAATACCAATCTTAATCTTACTCTTATATCTCCTAGTCTCAATAGATCTAGTGTACACCGGTTTATGCGAGTTAGTTCCAGAATGAGAACAACTGTATTCTAAGCTTAATTCAAATTGTTCTGGTGTTGAAACTACAAGTAGTTTCAACACTTACAAATAAGTGGGTTGTTAGTTTGATGGAGTATGATTGGTTAGTATTCAATATTTTATAGAGATAAAATATCAAAATAATATCCAATAATAAATTCTAGTTTAAATCTGGTTCCATAAACAAAAATAAGGAAAAATGCAGTGGATTTTTGGAGAAGAATTGCGAAATCCATAGTCAAAATATGAAACCAGAGACAAAACGGGAAATCCAGAAACAAATTATGGTACCCCCAAAAACGTCACATGAGGGGGTTAAATCTGCGGGTTTCAGCGACCAATTAATGAATACAATGGCTGTTGCTAGTTCCGCAAACGGATAACTTTCTCCACAAAGAAATATTTTTTGTCTAGATGTCACATATTGTCACTATGTTCTATTATTTGTTGTTGAAGTCTTAAAAGATGAAAAACAAATGCGCATTTTGACGGCGTTCATCACTTAAATCCAAAACAACAGTAGCTTACAATACTTCTCAAAAATCAGCACTGTCCGAGGACTCAGCAAAAAACCTTAAGTTTAAAAAACTTCAAAATCTTCCGGTTTGCAGCACAATTTTTTTCTACTCCAACGAAATTGTCTGATAGTTGGCGTAGTATCGAAAATGGTTAGGCGACAAGTCGTGACCGGCGACAATTTGTAAGAGGCAACAACTCTTATGTATTTTTTATGAGGCAACTATTCAAGCAAAAATTTGTAACGCGGTTCTTTTTGTTTCCTGTAACGAACGAATTTTTTACTTCTGGTGAGACAGATTTAACTTTAATTTTTTAACGACCAAAAAATATTTTGAATTGTTTGAATGCTAAAGCAAGGATTTTCTTGAAATTTTTAATTGTTCGCTTTTTAATTCTGATCAGAAATAAACTAAATCGAGGCTATTTTTAGCTAGAAAAAAATCTCATGGTCGAGTTCGGCGGACCCTTGATCTCCAGTTGGCTAGAGTTAATTGGCTAGTGTTAATCGCTAGGCCCCTTTCCTGACATCTAGTAATAGTTATAGGAATCCAATGCAAATCAACGCTTGTTATGACAAGTGTTAATTTACGTTTTACTGCTACAGCTGTTTAATATACTCCAAACATGTAGAATAAACGTTTATCTCGTTGCGGTTGAGCAGTGAACTGTCTTCAAAATATTTTTTCTAGAAATTGTATATTTTTAATGGCAGAGAAGAAATAAATTGCTTTTATACAGGAAATACAGAAAATTAGGTTAAATTATATATATATATAGAAATTTTATCCAGATTAGAAGCTTTGTTGGGTACGGGTATTGAGCAATTAAAAGAAACAAATATAAATTAAAATGGCGTCAAAGACAAAAATTAAAAAATCTTAGAAATCAAATTTGGTGGCCAGTAATTGCAAATTTTTATTAGTTCGATTTTTTTGATAGTTTTTAGTTAGCTCAAACAGTTGATCTTGAGGTTTTTCATATATTACTGTTGTTTTTGGTGGCATGCCTACAATTCTAATCTGCAGAGTTTTCTTCCTTTCGCAGAAATTTAATGTATTTGTGATATTTTGGGTGGAACGACAACGACTGGTGTTAGGCTTCAACGGAGTCGCTTGTTTTCGGCTTCTCGTCCCGAGCACTTTCAAACTGTTTCCACATTTGGACGAAATATGGCTTTTTGAAGTACTTGGTATATGGAATGATCGGCGAGTCTTCGTCTGTTAGATCAAGGAGGCTTTTGAACAAATACTGTAAATCAGCCTCCGTTATCAGGGCTAGCGCAATGAAATAATTCATTATTACGAGTCAGCGTTTGCTGACAACAGTCACCTGATATGAATCGTCACCGATAACAAAATGCCGGCCAGCGGTTTGAAAAGCTTGAGTTTGGCCGCTCACTAGTTCTTTTTTGGAAAAAAACTCTTTGAGCAAAGCGAATATAGCTTTTAGGCTGAGTTTTTTTGGGGAGAGCCCATAAAACTAATCTGTGTACAAAAAATTTGAAAACAATCTACTGAAATTACTCAAAAGGTAAAAGGAGTGAAAAAAATCAAGTGAAGTGTTTTATGTCCTTATTTTACCAATCAG